ATTGTGTTGTTTGTGATTATGGTTTTCGAATGTTTATGAATTATGATTATATGATGTCTTCTAAGTTCTACTGTTTTCTATAAAGTTAGTTTCTACTTTCTACTTTCTACTGTCTTCTATGATACATCAAGGGATAGTGGACACAGAACCTCCGACAGCTAATACTATTAGAGTTAATGAATAAATTAAATACCTACTATTACATAAATCACATCCATAGTTTTTTCTATGCATGAACCTATTTTTTTAGATTTTTTAGAATTTTTTGATATTCATTGACAACATTGGGATGAAGCACTCAGATCTGGACCGCATAAGTCCCTCGATCTTAGCTAGCAGTGAACTTCCTTCTCTCAATAATGTGTACTCACGTGTTCAACAAGTTACTATATCTACTGCCATGTTAAGTGATGGATCTGCCTTGACTGCCACATTGGGCAGAGGTGACGGTAGGGGCCGTGGTGGTGATAATTAAGGATGCGGCCATGATTCAGGGGGAGGTCGTGGTAGAGGTTGTGGAAACAGGAAGTGCACCCACTATGGATGGATCAATTATACGACTGAAAAATGTTGGAATCAGTTTGGTAAGCCTGCTTGGGCTAATCAGGCAGCCTATGTTTTTGAGAGTACTGAAATACATACACTTGGCTCCAGTAATCAAAGTTTGGCTCTTAATTCTGCTAGTGATTCAGTTTTACTCTTGTGTGAAGAATATGATAAGCTAATCATGAATAGTCAACAACCAACCACCTACTCATCTGACCTCTTCCATTGCCATTCAGGCATATACAGGTACTTCTACATTTCTTGCCTCTCAGAGGCCATTTCCATGTGCCATTAATTCAGGAGCCTCTGATTATATGACTAGCAAGTCTTCTCTATATTCTTCTCTCAATCAATTAGATCCACTGCATTTGTTACATTGGCTGATGACTCTTTATCTAGTGTGTCTAGGAAAGTCATTGTTTGTCCTACTTCAGTTTCATTGTCATCTGTTCTCTATGTTCCAAAGTTTCCACTTAGTTTGTTGTCAATCAGTAAATTAACCAAATCTCTTCAATGTTCAGTGACTTTCTATCCTTTACATTGCATTTTGCAGGATCTAAAGACGAAGAAGATGATTGGTGGTCGTCGTGAGTCTAGAGGAATCTACTATCTTGATTGTAGTCTTGTTGGTGCTGCTCTTCATTCCAGTATTCTCTCCTTCAATGGCATTGCCAGCTTAGTGATCCATCTAGCAATAATCTGAAGTTATTAGTTCCTTCATTAGAGTCTTTGTCAACCCTAGGGTGTGAGGCTTGTGAGTTAAGCAAGCATCATATGATTACCTTCCACCCAAGAGTCAATAAACGAATGTTTATTCCTTTTGCAGTCATTCATTCAGATATTTGGGGTCTTGCTAGAGTTCAGAGTTTATTACAGATACTTTTTAATTTTTGTGGATGCTTTCTCTCAGGTGACATGGATCTATTTAATGAAAGACAGGTCTGAGGCATTGTCTATTTGACAATTGTTTTATAAAGAAATTCAGACTCAGTTTGGAAAGAATGTTTGTATTTTGCAGTCAGATAATGCTAGAGAATATTTATCCCAAGATTTTCGGCAATATTTAACCACATATGGTATTTTGCATCAGACATCATGTGCACACATCCCTCAACATAATGGGATAGCAGAGAAGAAAATTCATCATATAATAAAAGTAACTTGTGCTTTGTTGTTAAATATGCACATGCCAAAAATTTATTGGGGAGACGTATTAACTACTTGTTATTTGATAAATGGCATGCCTTCCTCTGCTTTAGAAGGAAAATCACCACAATCTTTACTCTTTCCTGATAGACTTTTATTTTATAATTCCTCATTGAATTTTGGGTGTGTGTGTTTTTTTTATGTTCTGGGCCCTGATATTGACAAATTAGATCATTGATATGTTAAATGTGTGTTTTTAGGATATTCTCGTATACAAAAAGGTTATTGATACTATCATCCTGGTTTGAAGAAATAATTTGTTTGTGCTGACATTACCTTTTCTGAGAATAGCCCATATTTTTCTAATGAAGAGAAAATGATTGAAATTGACTCAAGCGACCTAAGTGAAGAATTTGCATGATGGAAAGTTCATTCCTCCTTCCTCTTCTATTCCCATTCCTATCCCGGATCCTATTTCTTTTGATGACCCTCTTGCATCACGTCAAGTGTCTACTCATGAAGAGTTTGTTTCTCCTCCTATTTCTAATATTTCACAGGAGTAGTCCTACAAAGTATATTATGAGGAAGAAAGTGAAGGAAGTGTCATCCCCACCAGCTCAGCCAACCAATCAATCTTCATCTTCGTCTACGGATCCTATCTTTGTTCAAGAACCCACTCCTGGGCATGATAATGTTGATCTTCAGTTAGCACTTCATAAAGGTCAGCGGTCTTGTACCAAACATCCAATTGCTCATTTTGTTACATTTTGAGAAACTGTTTTCTTCTTATAAGAAATTTTGCCTCAGCTCTTTACTCCATTTTTGTACCCAAGGCCTGTCAAGAAGCTCTTTCACATTTTGGATGGAAGAAACAATGGATGAGGAAATGGTTGCACTTCAATCAAATGGCACGTGGGAGCTTACTCATATCTAGGCAGGAAAAAGACCGGTTGGATGTCATTGGGTGTACACAGTTAAATATCAGCCAGATGGATATGTGGAGAGGTTAAAAGCCAGGCTAGTGGCCAAGGGGTATAAACAAACCTTTGGTATTGACTAGTCTAAGACATTTGCACCAGTAGCCAAGCTTAATTCGGTCCAAGTGCTCATACCTGTAGCAGCAAATAAGGGGTCAGCAACTGTGGCAACTTGATGTTAAGAACACCTTCCTTCATGATGATCTACAAGAAGAGGTATATATGGAGCACCCACCAGGGTTTGTTGCTCAGGGGGAGTTAGACAAAGTATGCAAGTTGAGGAAAGCAATTTATGAATTGAAGCAGTCCCCACGTGCATGGTTTGAGAAGTTTAGCAAAATTGTTATGGCATATAGGTTTCAAAGGAGCATGTGGATCATTAAATATTTATTTGGAAACAATCCATTGGAATTTTTATCTTGTTGGTTTATGTTCATGATATCATTATTATATGGAGTGATCAAGAAGGAATTAATAAATTGAAAGGTTATCTGCAATGGTATGTTCAGACAAAATATTTGAAACAATTGAGGTATTTTCTAGGAATTGTGGTAGCCAGGTCCCTGTATGGTATCAGTTCGTCTCAAAGGAAAAATGTAACAAATTTGTTGACAGAGACAGGAATGTTAGGTGCTAAGCCAATTGATACACCTATAGATCCAAGTATGAATCTGTCAATGGATCACGGAGATTTGTTAGAAGACCGTAGCAGATACAGAAGGCTTGTAGGAAAACGTATCTGCCTCACAATCAATCAGAAAGACATAGCCTTTGGTGTGAGAGTAGTGAGTCAGTTTATGCATCCCCCCAGAACACCACATTACGAAGACGTAAAAAGGATTTTGAGATATTTGATGGGGACTCCAGGTCGAGGACTCATCTACGGGAAGAATGTTTTAGTATTGACAACTATTCTGATGCTGATTGGGTAAGATCCCAATCAGACAGAAGATCTACTAGAGGCTATTATTACCTTTGTTGGAGGAAATTTGGTGACTTAGAAAAGCAAGAAACAAAGTGTGGTAACAAGAAAAGCAAGAAACAAAGTGTGGTAACAAGGCCTAGTGCAGAGGCTGAGTATAGACCATAGCTCCCACTGCATGTGAGCTGATGTGGTTGAAAACCTTGATGAAGGAAATGAGATCCTTGATTACTGAGCTGTGACAATCAGGCAGCCATATATATTGCTAGCAACCCAGTTTTTCATGAGAGAACAAAATATATTGAGATTGATTACCTTTTTATTCAAGAGAAAGTGACAAGTACGCAGATAACCACTCCAAGGATCAATTGGCTGATACATTTACTAAGGCCCCTAGCCATAACCAGATTCAGCAGATTTGCTCTAAGCTTGGCAGGGGTGATATCGATACTCCAGCTTGAGGGTGAGTGTTAAAGATTAAAACATTATGTGGTTATGAGTGTTGAATGTAGCATGGGTATCTTTGTTATTTTTATAAACTTTAGGACATTAGGTTTTGGTAAAGTACTTAAAGGGAATTTCTATAATATTATCATCCAATTATTATAAATAAAGTTTAAGAGGTGCATGTGGGCTGTGCAATCAGTTTACGCACCTCTCTCTCTCTCTCTTATCTTTCATCTTTTCTCTCTTCTCTTTCTTTTCCTCTTCTTTTTCCTTTCTCTCTCTAGTTTTTACTGTTTACAGCACTGTTCACAGTACTGTTCATGGCACTATTCACAGTACTGTACAAGAACTATTAGAGTAAGATAACGTGTGTACCACCAAGTCACAAATGTTGTATCTGTGAACCATCTGTTGAGATTTCCTATGAAATGAGACATGGAATGGAGCCATTACAAAGTTTTGGAAGTTACATAGGAAGCTTTGGGCCCATATTGGTCATGGGTTGAGAAGAGGAGTTGAACACTGTGAGATCAATCTCCCATTGTTTCTTAGTAGCTCAGTGGTAGAGTGGTCAGCCATATCAATTGATATCTCTTGATATCTCATATAGTCTAATCAACGGATGCTATCTTTTCCCAACCAATTTTTTGGATGCTCGTAATGATATAGTTATGAGAGATGGTGTACTATCACTATTCTATTTTGGCAGCCTAATTGCAAATTAAAGGAAAAAAGAAAAGAAAATGAAGGAAATAGGGAAAAAAGGAATAGAAATAACTAAACACAAATTTGGCAAACATTACAAACAACTGGCTAGAGAGTGGATGATATACTCAAGGTTCTCCACTATAGATCAGTAATACAGAAGATAGATCAGAATAACCTCACCTAATGATCACAATATGTTAATGACAATATGGAAATGATTCACACATTAAAAATCTTCAGGATCAGTAACTCACCTTCCAGACAGGTTAACGGTTTTATCTCCATTTCCTGATGTAACTGTGGTCTTCTCTATTGGAAGTATGATAGTCATGTTTGGAAGTTTTGCACCTGTCAAATTGTCACAAGCAATATAAGAAAAAAAAGAATAATCACAACACACGAACGTACTGTACAAGAGCCAAAAGCTTGTTAAGCAAGATAGCGCTTAGACAAACGTTGCCAGTGAAGTGCAAATGCCATATTCCATCAATAAAAGAGGAAAAACATGATTGTTAACTTCAAAAAAAAAGAAGTAGAAAAACATGAATACTAATGAAAAAAGAGAAAAGAAAAAAAAGAAACAATAAAATAAATTAGATTGACCAGTATGAACAACATTACCAGCAGCTAGCCGATGTTTGAGACCCTTAAGAACAGTTAAAAAGTACACCTGTCCATTTTTGAGAGACTTAATCAGTCGAATGGAAAAACAACAGCAACAACATTTGCTCATAAAAGCTGAAGTTATCAGTTCTATGGACATCCATCACAAAGCATGCACAAGTATTGCATGGAACAAGAGGAATGAGTACAAGTGTCATAGTCTGAGCACATGGATATGGTGTGCACATGCTGTGTATCCATGTTGCATGTATGCTTTACAGTTCAACTGCGTAACAATAGAATTCTGCATCCGGAATTAAAAGCACATATGTACTATGAACCTGGATCAGAAGAAATGTTGGTACCAGAGGTCCTAACTCATGGCGTGCTAGAGAGAGAG